CAGCTTTATGTTCTTTATTTTATTTTTAATGTTTGTTATTTTGTATTATGTTTTGTAAAAGTTCACATGTTCTGAAAAATAATAAAAACTTTAATTATATATATAATTTTTTTTAAGGCATTTTACACCATTAGTATACATAAAGATTTAAGTATTTTATTTTTTTAATACCAGTCTGGAGTTTTGTGACGACCCTCCAGACGAAGGGTCATCACAAAACATAATTTTATGGTGTAATTTGAACTGTGTCCTGATAGATGTTTTTCAAAGGCTCTCAGACATAAAAGCAATGTCACGATCAGCATGTTGAACCCAAATGCAGAAACACATGAAGGACTCCAAGATAAATAAAGAATATAAATTTCTCAATGAAAACATTCAAAACAAAAGCTGACGTGGCAGCAAAACTTACGTGTGTGGAAGCATGAGGAACAGAATGTGACCGACTGTGGGGAGCACAATCTACAGACAACATGAAGACACAGAGACGCTGAACTTAAAAGTACACTAACGAGACACAATGACGAACACCTGGGAAAGACGAGGAACAGGTGATAGTGGCAGGAACTGACTACATGAGAGAAACACTGGGGAAACTGGAAACACAGGAAAAACAGACTCTGAGAACTAAATAAAAATCACCAAACAAACAGATATAACAAGCACCATTTAGTGAGCTAACATCAAAAGTGTAGTTGTACAAAGAAAAAAATTACTGAGAGGAATACATTATTTTATGAAATGATATAAATGGGATAAAATTTAGTTTTTACAATGCATTCTAATGTGGCTGATTGTTCCACAACTGGAACACAAGTGTGCAGTAAAGTTACTAGGTTATGAGAGCATTTGAAAAAAAAAAAAAAAAAAAAATAGAAGGATTTTTAGGCTTTGTCAAAAAAAAAATCATGTTTATTGATTGCACCAAAAATAAATAAAAACAGACAAAACTAAATGTGTTGCTGATTATTCCCCAAAAGACGATACAAGTGTAAGATGATCATACCCTTTTGTTTTTTCTCACTTTACTGTAACAACATTTTTATTTGATTGAATAAGAAGGAGCTTGACCCTCTCCAGTCATAGTCAAAAGGTAATGTAACAAATCCAAGAGAGACAATATTTTACACCAGTGTTGTTGTTTGTTTTTTTTTGCTTTGGTTGCTGGCTGGTACATTTTAGATATCGT